CAAATCTTAAAGTCTACCTTATCGTTTTCTAAGTTGTAATCGAGTTCAAGGACAGAGCCTCTCTAATGTTTACATATGTATATGCTCTACATATATGCTCTTTAGGCATCAGCCCAAACCTTACAGCGACCTCTTATCGTTTGGTAAAAGTACGTATGCACCTAGCCACTTCTTCGTATGGCATAAATATTTAATCAACCCTGAACGTCAGCAGGACGCATGTGGCTCACCTTTTTATCTGCCAAACGGGATATACGTATGAAGTGGGGTCGGTTGGCATTTTAGCCTGTTGACATTGAAATGCGTTAATTTATATTGATAATGATTGATGAGGGCGCGGACAGGTAGCCCACCTGCCGGCCTGCTGGTCACTCGGGCAGTGCTCAAGCGGGCCTTAGTCTACGCAGGGAGTCAGGTTGCAGGATGGCAATGGAATTAGTCTCTCGGCCAGCATAGTGGAGAGTGCTGCGCAGATTTCGCCTTTGGCTATAAAAAAATAACGAGTTAATAAGCATCAAATTGCAATTAGTTGTGATTAGATAAACGCATTCCTTATCTCCGTATATATATATACATATATGTAAGCTCCGTTCAACCCATAGCGAGTCGATAGTTCACCATGGACACTGACGATGCACTGGCGTCTCTGCAACGAGCTAGCCAATTGTGCTGCCTGTGCTATTGGCGCCGGGATAGTGCCACAGGGCAGCAGAAACGTTCGCGCTGGCTGCTGCTCTACGGCTGCGTTGTGCTGCTCCTGTCCGTTGGGTACTTGCTGTACGGGTTGCTCGATGCCAGTCGCAATGTCGAGGCCAGTGGCGTGGGCTCGGAGACCACGCATATTGGCCATACGGTGGACTCGATACAGCTGGTTGGCATCCGGGTGGCGCATGCTACGGCCCTGCTGGAGGAGCTCTGGCAGTGGCAAGCGCAGAGTCAATTTGTGGCGCAGCTGCGCCAGATCGATCTGGATTTTGTCAGTTTGCTGCAGCTGGACGTGAACTATGGCCAACTGCGCCGCCAGATGGGCCGCCGGGCGCTCTATATGCTTTCCGGCTATGTGGTTAGCCAGGGCTTCATATTGTTCACCAAAATAATGTCTCTGGACATCAAGTTCATGGTCTATTGGCTGAGCTACTTGCTGCCGCTGCTGGTCTGTGGCATGCGCTACTTTCAGATCTACACGTTCATCCTGATTGTGCAGCAGCGCCTGGAGCTGCTGTTGAGCATGCTCGACTCGCTGCAGCTGTACGAGGCGTTGCCGGAGAAGCCATATATCTGTAACACCATCAACGAGAAGCTGGACATGAAGACGCAGGCGGCGGCTTGCATGCAGCGTCTGCTGGCCGCCCGGAAACTATACCAGAGCCTGTGGATGTTGGTCGCTCTGCTGAATCGCTGCTACGGCCTGTCCATGCTGGTCAACTTGGGCAACGACTTTTTGTCCATCACCTCGAACTGCTATTGGATATTCCTGAACTTTCGCCAGTTCGCCGCCTCGCCCTACGACTTCATGCAGATCGTGGGCAGCGCCCTCTGGACCGCACCGCACTTGAGCAACGTTCTCATCCTGGCACTGCTATGCGAACGAGTTTCCTATTTTGTGAGTAGACGAACGGGCCCAAGAGAAAGTGCTTCACGTACCCCTCTCTCCTTGCAGACAACGCGCTTGGCCCTGAGTCTGCACCATATTCGCACGGATCTTCAAAACGATGCACACAATGCTCTAGTGAGTCGATTCGGTTTCAAGCTCCTTTCAGTCTATCCTTTAGCTACGTCTGCTTCACAGATCACTCAGTTCTCCCTGCAGCTGTTGCACCAGCGCCTACACTTCAGCGCTGCGGGCTTCTTCGATGTCAACTGCACGTTGCTCTACACGGTGAGTGGGCGTGGCTCCAGCAGGTGTCCAGCTACTCATGGTATCCGTTTCAGATTGTCGGGGCCACAACTACGTATCTCATTATCCTCATCCAGTTTCACATGAGCGAGAGCAGCCTGAACAGCGACTCGCCCGGCGGATAGGGAATGAAAACATAGTTGCCTATGTATTATCCATCTCAGTACGTTTGATCTGAAATAATAAATAAAGTCATGTAATATCCCAGTAGCCCATGAGAACGGCTGTACACAAATGTTAGTTTAAGCTATTATCAAAACTATTCATGTACAAACGAATAAGTAAGTAGAACCCATTTATACACCTTTCACACTTGTCCAAGATTGTTGATCGCCATCGCGATCTAGACTGGACATATTTCGAGCCAGCACTTAAACCACAACAAAATGGAATGTCAGGGCAAAGTCCCTGGTAAGGTCCCCACAACTGACGACGAAAAAACCCTAATTAATTCACCAATGCCAACGGCAACGCCATCGATCGATGAACTCAGCAGTGACGAGGAACTCTTTGAATTCATGCGCGAAGCTCCCATAGGGGACAGAAACGAGCCATCATCCAGTGCCAGTGAACTAACCATAACTATGTGCGAAAGCGAGGAGCCGACAGCGAGCTCCTCTTCCACCCATCCCTCGGTCGATGCCCCAAGCAGCGAAATCAACAACAGCTTGGTGGCCGTGGTCCAACGCAGCGAATTCGCTAAGCTCTTGATGCGCCTAGGCGAAGAGGGCGACGGCGACGCAAACCAGATTGTAATAGAGCTACTCAACTCAAAGAAGCAAGCCACATCGGTTATCGAGCGCGTATCCGAGAACCTCATGCTCGTGCTACGTACCCAGACCCTGGCTGAAGCAGGCATCATAACAGGCAACGAGCGCTATCGTTCCTTCAAGTCGGTTCTGCAGAATTACGCAAAGCTCTACGCGGCTAAGCGATTTATCGAGAAACTCCCCATGCTGGGACTCTCGCAACATTCGACCCAGGGCCACGATCAGGACCAGAACGAGAACGAAAAGACTCTGGCTCGCATGGTAGCCGACGAGGTACTGCAGATTCCCGAACTACTGCGCCAGCTCTGGGCCTCCCTGGAGAAAATGGAGTTCTTCAACGAGGACACTGCTTACAAAGTTTACTTGGAAGCGCGCCGCCATCCGCAGGCAAAAATTCTCCGTGAACTGATGTTAACTCGCATCTCGCGTGTCTACCTTTGCATTGTCAGCTCTGCATCCTTTCTCGATTTTAGCGAGCACGAGCTAATCCACGTGCTCAACAACTGCTACCTCAGTGTCAACTCCGAGATAGAGGTAAGAGTAATGCATATTTTCCCTTGATTTGTGCTAGCTTTATTTATTCTCTGATCGCTTCTCAGATATTCCTCTCGGTCATACTCTGGTTGGAGCACAACTGGTATGAGCGTAAGAACTGCGCTGAGCGGGTCTTGAGTGGGGTTCGATTCGGCCTGATGCCCACCTGGTACCTCTATACTCTGGACAGAACCAATCGCTGCAATCACTTCGCCAAGGTCATCTATAGCCAGGGAGTCCAAGCCCTTTTGGAGAAGGGTCTCGAGTATGTGGATCTTTATCTAGGATTTGGCATGCCTATTAAATCGAATCTTTCCTTTACAGGGAAGCCTTGGCTTTGCGTTATAAAAAGGCGCGTGCTCCCAACTCCAGCAACATGGAGATTCCATTGCCACGTGACTGGGTTGCTGACCCGGAGTGTCGTCATCACCACAAGTGCCATTGCGAGCGATTTGTTTACCCGACATATGACGTGTTCAAGGACTACCTGGCTAGAATCATAAGATGTGCTCCGAATTACTGGCGCACTCTTCGTCCAGCCCAGGAGGTTTACCGGATGGTACTCAAATGTTGTGCACCCCCCTGCCAGACCCATCAACGAATTTAACCACACCGTTGAGATTGATTGTCTCATCTCCCTACGCTAATTGTAATCAGTCCAAAATTTATTGTTTTATCAGTCCTGGCATGTTTAAGCGCAAATCATTTTAGAGTGTTTAATAAATGTTTCAAAATTCCAATTCGATACTTACGTCTCTGCTTTAAGAAATGGAAGCTAAATGGGAAAGGAAATATACAAAGCGTCGCTCCAACTATACAAGGGAAAGATAGGTATATTTCTCTATAGGCAGATATAGGCATATGCATATTCCATTATTGGTAAATTGGCTGTTTGGGAAAAGGAGAACTAGTAATAACAACGCATTCGATTTATGAACTCAATACAAACGACAGCTGTCAACAGCTGATTTCACTTAAATTTTATTGCAACATTCATGGTGTGTATTTACGGTCCTATCAACTTTTACAGTTGAGCTGCTACGATTCCCAACTTAATCCAACATTTATTAAACACTTTAAAATGATTTGCAGTTAAGCACGCCAGAAGAGGTAAAACAATAAATTTGGGAGCTAGTTTGTTCGGTGTAGAGAAATAAGACAACTGATGTCAACGATTTGTTTAGGATCGTCGCTGTGTCTGGTAGGGGGGTGCGCAGCACTTGAGTACCTTCCGGTAGACTTCCTGGGCAGGCCGAAGCGTGCGCCAGTAGTTTGGTGCAGATCGTATGATCCTGGCTAGGTAGTCCTTAAATACATCATATGTTGGATACACAAATCGCTCGCAATGGCACTTGTGGTGATGGCGACACTCCGGGTCAGCAACCCAGTCACGTGGCAATGGAATCTCCATGTTGCTGGAGTTGGGAGCACGCGCCTTTTTATAACGCAAAGCCAAGGCTTCCCTGTAAAGGAAAGATTCGATTTAATAGGCATGACAAATCCTAGATAAAGATCCACATACTCGAGACCCTTCTCCAAAAGGGCTTGGACTCCCTGGCTATAGATGACCTTGGCGAAGTGATTGCAGCGATTGGTTCTGTCCAGAGTATAGAGGTACCAGGTGGGCATCAGGCCGAATCGAACCCCACTCAAGACCCGCTCAGCGCAGTTCTTACGCTCATACCAGTTGTGCTCCAACCAGAGTATGACCGAGAGGAATATCTGAGAAGCGATCAGAGAATAAATAAAGCTAGCAYAAATCAAGGGAAAATATGCATTACTCTTACCTCTATCTCGGAGTTGACACTGAGGTAGCAGTTGTTGAGCACGTGGATTAGCTCGTGCTCGCTAAAATCGAGAAAGGATGCAGAGCTGACAATGCAAAGGTAGACACGCGAGATGCGAGTTAACATCAGTTCACGGAGAATTTTTGCCTGCGGATGGCGGCGCGCTTCCAAGTAAACTTTGTAAGCAGTGTCCTCGTTGAAGAACTCCATTTTCTCCAGGGAGGCCCAGAGCTGGCGCAGTAGTTCGGGAATCTGCAGTACCTCGTCGGCTACCATGCGAGCCAGAGTCTTTTCGTTCTCGTTCTGGTCCTGATCGTGGCCCTGGGTCGAATGTTGCGAGAGTCCCAGCATGGGGAGYTTCTCGATAAATCGCTTAGCCGCGTAGAGCTTTGCGTAATTCTGCAGAACCGACTTGAAGGAACGATAGCGCTCGTTGCCTGTTATGATGCCTGCTTCAGCCAGGGTCTGGGTACGTAGCACGAGCATGAGGTTCTCGGATACGCGCTCGATTACCGATGTAGCCTTCTCTGCTTGCTTTTTAGAGTTGAGGAGCTCTATTACAATCTGGTTTGCGTCACCGTCGCCCTCTTCGCCTAGGCGCATCAAGAGCTTAGCGAATTCGCTGCGTTGGACCACGGCCACCAAGCTGTTGTTGATTTCGTTGCTTGGGGCATCGACCGAGGGATGGGTGAGAGAGGAGCTTGCTGTCGGCTCCTCGCTTTCGCACATAGTTATGGTTTGTTCACTTACACTGGCTGTTGGCTCATGCCTGTCCCCAATGGGGGCTTCGCGTATGAATTCAAAGAGTTCATCGATCGATGCCGATTCAGTCGGCATAGATGTGTTAATGCCTGTGGTCTTCTCCCCAGCTGTGGGAGGCTCCTCTGCAGGGCCTTTGTCCTGACAGTCCATAATGTTGGTATTTGTACGATGACTCAGCGGATATCCAATTCCACTGAAAATTAATCTCTACAATGTGCTTCCCTAAATGGTTTCTAAATTAGCACGTTTGGTATAAATAGTGTGTGTACGTACGTATACATCTACGTATTTGAAATTGCTGTGTGTTGTGACATACGAACTGAGATATCAAATGGATACAAGGCCTGGTCGATGATTACTTATATGCCAACAGAAACTAGCAGCGCAGCCCACTTAGAATACGAAAAATATGAACGTACATTTGTTTTAGCTAGAAGTAACTGTAGTAGGCGACAGGCTTTGTAGGCAGTTCGTGCTTGTACTCCAGTTAGCTAGTTAGACTAGCACCGGGTTAAATTGAAGCCTTCGCTCAGCATAGGCTTATTGGTGGTGGCCTTCTTCTAGCAGCAGGCGAAACGAGTCGAACGTTTAGCTGCATAGCTGGAGCTGCTTTAGGCAGCATGTGAACCGACTGTTGGCGGTGAGCAATGTTAATGAAAGTTGGAACATCATAGACATCACTCCACATCATGGGACAGTTGGTAGCTATAATTTATATGGAAACAGTTGTTAGCAGAGAAACTCAAATAGTGTCATCACGATTCTCATCTATGCATATAGCAAATATGGTTATATTATTCAGCTCCAATAGCTTAGCCAGGCGCTCTAAGGTGATGTGACGGCAGCATTTCGTGGATCTGCTGAGGCGCTCAATTGAACAGATGCTGCTCCAATTGCCTTCACAGATCATCATCGCTCATCCTCTAATGGTTTCCATTTTATGACGCAGATCACGGTCGCTTGGATCGATAGCTCTAACTGTAGCCCATTGCAAGGAATATAACGGGCGCACATTGTAGAAAAGAAATGTTCGCTACACAATGGTTCAATGAAAACAACAAATCATATTGCGATAGAATATGCGCGCCGGTTAAGCACTCAATTAGTGCTGCACTAGTGAACGATAGACAAATCGATAATAAAACCACTGCTGCTGTTTCGATAATATCGTCGCAGAGCTGCCGCGAACATTTAATTTAGAGTTAAAATATATGTTTCGCTCGCATTTATCAGACTTTTAACAACCCAAGTAACAACTTAATCATTTTTCTGAGTTGAATAGAGCACGTATGTTATATTAGAAACCAAACAAAAAACTCTTAAGAGCATACATATATGCATATACATATGTGCATATACATACGTACATGTCTCAATAAATAATGAAAACATATAATGTATTATATCATTTGTTTATTAATATTTAGTCGAGTCACAACTTTTTAAAGTTACTATTGTCTGCATTAAAACTATACCAGGTTGCTGCTTAAATGTTATACAGTTACAATTAACATACATACATAAATACGTAGACATACACATAATAAAACGTTGAGTCGACGCCAGCGTCGTAAGGTGTCCCATTCATTTGCAGAGCTCGAATAACGTGTGCTTCAGTTTCTCCTCGTCGGCGCCATTGACGCGGTATATATTCCGCTTGTTCTTGATGAACACAAAGGTTGGCTTTCTACGCACCCTGTATGTGTCCACCAAGTCCTCAAATTTGTCAACATTTATTTGTATGACTTCCGCCTTGTCAACATTTTGGCGGGCGAGTGCTTTAACCGCCTCATCGATGTCTTTGCATGGGGCGGACCAAGTAGCATAAAACTCCAGAACAATTAGCTTATGCTCTGCAGCCTCCAGGCGTTTGTTGAATCCACTTAAACTCCGAATGGTTGTCATTGTTTGATATAAAGTAAGACATATCAAATTGACTTGATCGAGTGAACATACATAGATGATGTGCTTTAGCCTGGAAAGCTGTGCAAATGCTTTTCGCGCTTACATGCAAACACACACATACATTTATATTCCATAAAGCAAGAAACGGTACTTATCCAGCATTTGCGTGATGACAGATTCCAATATCGATTGACGATTAACAATATTCGTGCCCGCGCAGTTCAATTATTTGAATACGCACACACATACAACACGCATAGATTTTGTTAATATTTAAAATATAAATTTACTTATGTTATTAGAAAAAAATATATTAACAATAACAGCATTAAGATTGTAGGCGTATCTATATAAAAATGTGATCCTATCTAATCTGAGCACGCATAGCAATGCTGCTGGGAATCTCTATATTATTCAGCTGCAGCAGCTTGACCAGATTACGTATGAACTCCTGTGAGACCTTCAGCTCGTCGTCGGCCTCCAGGCGCTCGTAGAGATCGAGGGCGCCCTCGTAGTTGTTGGTCTTCGTGAACTGGGAGAGCAGCATGTCGTAGATGCGCTGCTCGTCAATGGTGCGTTGCAGGCCTCGGACACCACGAGCCAGACGCAGGAGAGTGCGCACGGCGCCCTCTTGGCCCAGGTGCTCGCAGTTCTTCAGCAGCAGGTCGTGATTGAGCCGGAACTCTGGATTGATGATAAGCCGACGCAGCTGCGTCTCAGTGCCCGACTCGGCCAGAGCCAGCAGCAGGGCGCTGTTCATATTGGCTGCGCCGTGCACTCGGCTGACCGTCGACGTGACCGTGACCAGATGCTGCTGTGCTGACTCCTTGGTCATGCCTGGAAAACGTGCCAGCTCCGTCTCGTCGCCGTTGCTGAGCTTCACCAGCAGCGACAGCAGCTCGAACTGAAGCGGCGTGTGGTTGTGCCGCGTGGCCAGGCGCTGAAACTCTGCCACGGCGCCATCCATATCACCGCGATAGAGCCACTCCCGCAGCACAGGACCCAGCAGAGCATTGTGCGTCTGGCAATAGCCCAGCTTGCGCAGAAAGTTGAACATCTCCAGCGTGGGGCTCGTGGATGCGGACCCGGATGCAGAGTCCTTTGCCATTTTGGCAACATTCGTGAGCAGCTGCCAGACATTCTTGATGACATAGTCGCCGCCATTGACCTTGTGCTGGGCGGCGCGCTGCTGCAGCAGCTCCTTGGCCTCTTCCAGCTGACCCTTCTCCACCAGCAGAGCGGCGTAATCAATCAGCTTGTGCTCATCCAGAAGGAAACCTACAAATATATATACATAGGCATGATTAATATTTGACAATACGAGCGGATATCTAGTCAAGATTCACCTGGATATGTGGTCTGTAGGCGCTGCAGGCTCTGCTGAGCACGTGGCAGGTTCTTCAGCTTGATGTGCAGATCAAAGATGGCGGCCAGCATCCCAGCGCTGGTCTGCACCCGTAGAGCATCGCACTTGGCCTGCAGTTCGAGCGCCCGCTCCAAGTGGCCGTCGCGCACGCTCAACTGCAGCAGGCGCCGCAGCACGCCGCGCGTATTCAGCTGCTTGGCCTCCAGTTCGATGAGATGGCACTCGAGCTCTTCTCGCGACATGTCGCGCGGATGCTTGATGAAGCCGCCAACGGCCAAGACGGTATCCGCTGGTAGCTTCAGCTCCGCGTTGCGCATCTTCTGCAGCGTCTTGGCCAGCGATTCTCGTGTGTCCACATCGCTGTTGCTGCCCAGGCTCAACAGCGACTCGGCTGCCGCCGGTGAGATGTGCAGCTGCAGACGCTGCATCTCGTGCAGGAAGCGCAACAGCGATGCCGGCTCCTGGCGTAGGCGCGTCTGTGGCCCGCACATCTGCAGCAGCAGTGCACCAACGAAGTCATCCTGGCGCTGCAGTGATCGCTGCTGCAATGTCTGGATCAGCTGGGCGAAGGCCTCGAAGCGCTTAGTCGCACGCATGTGCACAGCCAGCGTAGCCAACGGCTGAAGCAGCGTCGTCAGCTGGAGGCGTGTCGGGTAGCGCTGCAGCAGATCGAGCGCTGGCTGCAGCTCCAGATGCTGCAGCAGTTGGCTGAGCACGTGCACCAGCGCCTGGGAGGGGCGCACGCCCACAGCGTCTAGCTGCTGCAGCGCCTGCACCGGCTGCTGCAGCGTCTGGTTTAGATTGGCTAGGACATATTGTCGCAGCGTCGGCTCGTCGCACTCCACGCCCAGGCGCTGCATATCGCCCAGCACCCGGAGCACGCCGCTCTCGCCCTCGCGCTTGTGTTGCTGCAGCAGCAAGGGCCAGAAGTAGTGCGGACGCAGTGGCTCGCCCGCTGCATTCAGTGCTTCCAGGCAGCTCAAGGCAATCGAAGGTTGACGACGCAGCGCCAACTCAGTGAGCACCTCCAAGGCGCGCGGATTCTGGCCGCGCTGGCGCAGCTGGAAAGCAAACTGCAGCATCTGCTCGAGGGGTGTGCGGGCGCGGAAGAGCTCCTGTAGCAGGTACGCTGCATATCCATCGATGTTTTGCTTCTCGTTAAACTTGGGCGCCGGCAGCATCCCCACCAGTTGGATCATCAGAGCCGCCTGATCTCTGTACAGCATCTGGATGCAGAGACTGTTGATGGCCGGCGGCACGTCGATATCGTTCACATAATCCGCAGGCAGCTGTGACACCAGCTGCTGCATTAGTTGCTCATCCACCTGCTGCTGGGCCAGCACAGCGCGCAGCATTTGCATAAGCTGCGGCGCATTGAAGCTGCCCGCGTGCTGCCGGAGCAGGTCGCGCGCCCTGGGCAGCTCGTCGTTCTCCACGTAGGCGACGAAGCACAGGGCCTGGGTGCTGGCACTGGGCGTTATGCCCGCCGCGCGCATGCTGCTGAGGACCGTCTCGACGCCTGGTAGATCTCCGCTGCGCGCATGGCCCAGAAGGAGGGCGTGAAAGTTACGCTCAGAGAGAGGAAAGTTGCGCTGACGCATGTCACTCAGCAGCTCGGTAGCCTGTCGCATGTTCCCGCTGGCGCCGGCCACATCCAGCAGGGCGCTGTAGAGGCTTGCATCTGCCGCGCCATTGTAGGCGGCAATCTCGGCCAGTAGAGCACGATGGTCGGCCAACGGCAGCTGGTTCTCGTGCAGCATCTGCAGCTGGGTGTGATAGTGCGCCATGGACGGTTGCTCCACTTTCAGCAGCTGCGCCCACAATCGCCGAAACAGATCCCCACGTTCTCGGCTGCTCAGCACTGGCAACAGCTCCGGCACACAGGCGCCCAACAGAAAGTGCAGCTGTTCGGCAGTTAGTGTGTTTTGCACTCCCATGGGTGAGCCCTCCAGCAGTGCCAGCAGACGTTCGCAGTGCTCTTGGCGGAGCACATTGTGCTGCTGATAATGTTGCTCAAGCTGCGTCCACAGATCATCGAGGCTGGCGATGGTGTTCCCGCGGTCATTGGCCTTCGCTACGCGCTTCTTGTTCGACGATGCGGGTCGTGCAACTGGTGTGGTTGCTGCCGTCGTATAGCTATATGCAAGTGGCTGCAGTGCCGGCATTGTTGTCCTGCTGATCATTGGCGTTGCATAATGCAGACATCCACGTGCCGTTGGCGGCGCAATGGCAGCTCCAACTGCAACGCGTCGTAATTGAAACCGCAGGCGCACATTTTGGAAGAGGTGTGTACGCAACATGGCAATGGCCAAGGCGCTGGAAACACAGAATTGCTTAACGAAAACAAAACGTAAAACTAGAGAACATGCGCGCCGGCAAAACACTGAATTAGTGCTGCACTAATATCGATACTATCTATCGTTGAAGATACACTTTACTATCGATGAAAACAATTCATTAAACAATTACTATAATTTCGGCGAATGAGCAGTTGAAATATTTGCAATTCCTGCAAGAAATAAATACTCTACTTTTTCTTTTTTTTTGTATAATAACTATTCCATATTCAATGGTTCTTCAACGTCGTACTATTTTATCAAGGTGATATTAGCAGATTATGTAAATATACGAGGTACGCATTGTACAAAAAAATGGAAATACTTATTTTTACTATATATATGACATTAATAATATATGACTATTAATAGCATAAGTTGTTTATTTCATGTCTCATTTAATTTGTTACGAACACAGTAATCGCAAAACAAACATATCGATAGCACCTGATAATAACAAAAATCAGCTGTGTGAATGGTTTTTAATTTGAATATGGCGGCAAACATTTACTGCGCACCTGTAATGAGAATCGTGCTAACGAAAACATTGCGATAGTGATAGTGCCATCGATAACTTGCACTTCGCTCAAGTCGTGAAAAGTATGAATATTTAAATTTGTTAAATGTAAATACTTCGAAATGCAAAATTTACGTGCTCATGAATTTTAATTGAGACCCCTCAATGGGAGACAACAATATCACATCAATTGCAACGCCTGCATCAACAATTCAACAACAATTTTAGCCACCAACATAAACCAGGGCTGTGGCTTTGGCCCTGGCAGCATACAGAAACGATTATTGTTGACAGCAGAAGTTGCATCGAGTCAACAAACTGATGTGAATTCGAATGTCAGTCGGGAGTTGGAGTCGGCAGAAGAGGGCACAATGTTGCACAGTACGTACTCAAACTCTTCTGTATATATCTATGTGTGCACATGCACACATACATATATATTAAACTGTGTTTTCGTTTGTTTGGTTTATTTATATATATGTATGTACATACATATTATTTTTTCCTACGACAAACAGTTGCTCCTTCGGCCATTGATAAACTGCGCCGTTTTTGCTACCTGGGCAGAATCAAGCAGCCAGTTTATGCACCGACAACTTTTGACTTGACTGTGGAAGCCCACTTTGAGGCACTGCGTGAGCTGTGCGGCAAAGTGAATGAAAATGAGCTGATCGAGTGCCTGAGAGACGTTCTCGATGCATCCAATGATCAGTACTTGCCCCGACACGATGAGGCGATACTCGTCTTGGCCGTTTACCTTTCTACGTGCCCGGATGAAAAGCATCGCACACTAGTGCGCGGATATTTCCCTGCGCTTGTGCGCACTTCCCAGGAGTTGTTCTTATTTGTGAAGTTCGTGAAGCAAGTGCAAAAGCTGTTGGACCGCAAAACGCCCTTTAGTCGCACCGTGCGTAAAGCTGTGCTGGAATGGTATCAGCATCAGGCACTGGACAAGTTGCTACATATGTGGTCGCTGGGCGATTGCAACTCGGCCCAGCATCGCGAACTCCTACAGCGATGCCACTACATGAGCGCCAAATTCGATGCGGATAAGATGGCCGCGTTGCGCGTGGTGTCTGCGCCCAGTAAGGACCTAATTAACTGGCCCGACTATCTGGAGCCTCTCGCACAATGCAAGGAGACGATTCAAGGCATTGCCAATCTGCGCCTAACCCCAAACGCAGAGGCTGCCCTGCCCCTTATCCAGAAAATGTCGCTTAGCTACGAGCACTTGCCGCGTCGCCTTGTGTCTGATCAGAAAGTTGTTAATCTACTCATGGCCAAAATGACCTACGATCAGATGCTGCAGAGTTGGCCAACATTCCTCAAGCTCAACAGGTCGAATCGCCACGCCCAGACGTGCTTCACCCAGCGTTTCTTCGATCCCTCAGAGCTGCGTGCAGCCAATGTCGAGCCACTACGCCTGCTGTTGCAGGAGGCACGCGGATTCAGCCGCAAAAAAGTGGTGAGTGTTTATGATGTATGCTAATCTGAACTCAATTAAATCCAATATTGTGGCCGTAGATTACGAAAGGAGTTGTTTCACCAAAGCCGTCCAGCATTATTCAGAAGCTGTACAAACAGTCGTTCGGCTTCAACAAACCTTTGGGCTTACGACTTCATATAACAATTAATCTGGAGATGGTTTACTTGGGCAGTGCGTAAAATTTTGAATGAAATGAAATGAAATCACCTCATTTTGTTGGCTAATTTTTGATTTGCTCCCCTAGAATATCTCCTTGGACGCTTTCGCTCGATCAAGTATATCGATGCCGTACTCGCTTTAGCCTTTGGTTACTTCAAGTGCGACCCTAAAGTAACCGTGCGCATTTGGTATGACAAGACTGGAAAGCTAAAAGCGCTGCCATGGACTTCAGCCATGTCGGTTGATGAAGCCAAGGCCACTTGCGAGAGCCAGAAGGTGGTGAAAATTAAACAGACTCTGATAGACGTAATCGACGATGCGCTGCAGGATACAGAACAGACGTATGATGTTTTCCTGGTGCTGGTGCCTTGTGGAACGCGTGGAAATCAAAGGAATAAGTCCGAACAACTTTGCAAGCGGCTGGACGAGTATCGTGAAAAGCGAAATAAAGATGCCAAGTAAATTGCTTTGCCCTCAGCTCGGTACCCCCTATTCCACCACTATTAAATCTCCTCCCATTTACAGATTCATCATATTGAGTCTGCGGCAACAGCATGGATCCATGGGCTATTCGAGTGAGCGTAACGAGAACATATTGGAGTTGTGCAGCATTTCAGAGCAGACGCCACGTTTGATCAATGCCTTTGCTCACGGTAAATTCTTCTAGGCTATAAGAACTAATACAACTTCTGTGCTACTCAACGTAATGGATGGCATCCGGTAACCAAAGAATCATAATCAGCTATTTAATTGAAATCCCTATGGTAGCAAACGCACAGGCTGCATCAGCTGATGCCTGTCACTGGAAATAAGTCCACCGTACAATGAGCATAAACGTGCAAGTGACAGCAAGCTATCTAGTGCTCTCTATACTTCCATCTCTTTCAATTTGCATCTCTCTAACACACCAGTGCACATCGCACACATTCATACATGACACGTAAATAGAGCAAGAGATGACTAGACATAGCATCCATTGTTTCATGTGCGAGTTTTTCACGTACATCTCTGATGCTTATTAGTTATATAAAATATTTACATGCATACCTTAAATAGCTCTTAAGCTACACACACAGCAGACACACATAAACAGGCACACACACACACAAACACATACACATATATACACTTATGAGTATATTTAGAGTATACATATATACTTTCACTCTATACAACGCTAATTTTTGGAACGACTTGTACCACATAGTTATACATACTTGCATTAAATTGGTAATTAGGCGTAGTTAAAGAATTTAATTGATAATTTAATTTCGAAAACGAATGAACTGAATCTAAATCTAAATTTAATTTGGATTAAAAACACAATACAAGTGAATCTGAGCAAAGCGAGAGAAAAAAAAAAAAAAAAAAAACAAATTGCCTTACAAACAAAATGTTAGTCAATCTTTAATTTTAACTAAACATACATATTAAATACAAGGAATTTCTTCGTAAAAGTACTGAAACAATATTTAAAAAAAAACAAAATGGAAAAAAGCAAAAACGAAACCGAAAAGCAAAAGGAAGCATTTAGATAAAATTTTCAAACAAAACATAACTAAATGAAAAAAAATAGTCCAAACTAACAAATAAGTTAAAAGCCCACGAACAAGCTAAGCAACAAATGCAGCATGAAATATTGTTAAAAATTGATCTTGTTTTGAACATATTTAAAGAACAACAAAAAAGCAACTGCCCAAAATACTGTGAAATTTTATGTAACTAAAAAGCAAAATCGAATATGAACTAACAACAAATATGAGGAAACGAAGGCTTAGACACAAATTTATACAGCTAAGAACTCCTAATGTGCCATACACACACACACACACACAGTCACAGACACGCACACGTTCAGACATACATATATATATAGAATCACACACACATATAAAGCCTAAACATAACTGAACAATAATTACAGCAAAGACACAAGAGATTCGAGTAATTTTTATTGAATACATTTAAATTTGTATACAAAAATACTGAACAAAAAGCCAATCAAACAAATACAATTTGGAAGCTTAGCAAAAAGTATTAAAAAAACAAAAAAAAAAAAACAGGAATAAGAGAAACAAATAGCAATAGAAAAAGGATTTATAAAGAAAAGAGAGAAAAATTATTGAAACTTTAAAAGAAAATAAGAAATATGTATTTCTATGGACACCTTTGACATGTGTCCACACGCATCTGTGAAGTAAACCGTTGTGATCGCTTTGAAATTTTTATTTATAACAAAAACGAAAGACAAACAAATTAGATGAAACTCAAGAGAAACTTAAACTAATATAGATTCAATTAAATATAAGTTAATTCCTTGTGGACTGGAATGCAAATCATTTCGTAATGACAAGAGCAAACACAAAAACAAAAACAAAAAGCAAGATAAATAAGTGAAACAAAACTTGAACCAGAGTGTTACCAAAAAATAAATAAAAACGTACCTAGACTCAGAATTCAAAAGCAACAAATGAAATTTGAATACTAAAACAAAGACAAACTCACTCACTGGCACAATACTACAGCAAGAAACAGTTAAACAAACACAGACACAGACAAACACAAACAAACAAACACGAAACACACATACATACACATATATAATATGTATTCAAGTAGTATTAAATAACTAATGTAATGTTGTATTCCGTATTGTATATATCTATAGTTGAAGTCATAAACCATATGATTTGATTTGTTAAGAACTACGCCAACTCAAACAAAACAGTATCAAAAGGAAGCTAAAGATCAGCTGAATGATCTAAAACAAAAACAAAAACAAAAAACGAAATGTTTTGAAACCTACAGACAAACCTATAAATCCGCATTAGCAACAAGAAGCAAAACTTTATGTGATATCTATTTGAAAAATAAGCGAAACCGCAAACCCAATTCAAAAAAACAAAAAACCGAAAAAAATAAGAAAATATTTAAAATATAGACAAAAGAAAAAAATAGAAATACTCTTTGCGCTAAAAAGCTTTTACTAAACTTTCAACATACCAAAAAAAATTTGTTTGGTATTTTAAAAGAAAAAAAAAAAAAAAATGAACGACAAGAGAAACCAAAACATATAGGAAAATTTTGTAAACTTTCAGCAAATGAATCCAAAAAACAAAAAACAAAAGCGAAACGAAATATATAAACAAATTGCACCTTATCTGCATCTATCCTAAGTTTAGCCCCTAATGAATGTATTTTACAACATGTATTTGCCACTTTGTCATTTTATTCTGTTAACCGAGTACTTAGCATACGTAAAATGTCTAATGTTATAATGTTTTAGTTAGCACTAAATACAGTTAAGTACATATATATGTATGCATGTATGTATATACATATGCACATATGTATATATATATATAGTTAACGCCAATTTATTGATTGAAGCAATATCCGATACGATACGATACTATATACTCACTAATTTAAATACTAAAATACAATAGGCTTAAAGACGATTCATTCAAAATGTATCTATCTATCTATCTAACTACATATACATATGTATCTATCTAGAAGAACTTGACGGCAATATGACGACGCCTTAGTATTATATATTTCGATGTATTCCTTTCTTTTAAATTTACCTATATAATTTCTACTCTCGTTTTTTATACGTTTTCTTTTATATACTTGCATATCTGCCCAGACAGATATCTATATATATATAAATATGTATACATATACATCTATATATATATATATAAACATCTCTATATATATGTAAATATATATGTATATATACGTACATATATATATATACTTGTACACGACATAAAGTTGAATAAACAAAATTGAACTCAATCTCAATTCTCCATATTTTTTTTCTGGCAACTTTCAGTTGCCGTAATCAATCTTCGATCTGCGTGTGGCTGTGTGGGCAGGTGGGCGTGTCTCGGCATTTACTTGTTCTCGGTGACAATGCCGGCGGGCCCGCAGATGTAGAGCTGCTTGTTGGCCCGCTCGCGTATTGGCTCGAAGCCCAGCTCGTCGGTCGGGATGCCATATTGCTTGAGCTTGCACTCGTATGTCTCGAGCAGATCGTCGTGGGCCTTCCAGGCCTTGGACAGCTCGTAACGCAGATCGATGATGGTCTGGTTCTTGGTGTCGACCACATCGCTGACGGTCTTCTCCACGGCCTCCAGCTTACCGGGGAAGTCGGGGGCACACGCGGCAATCGTCCTGCGCATGATGATGCTGCGTTTCTCGTCCTCGCGCAGCAGAGCGGCAATCTTGCGCTCGAGCAGCACGTTCTTCAGGCCGGTCTTCTGTTGTAGCTCGACGATGACCTCGTTGAAGCGCGCCTTCAGATTGGCCCGCTCGCTGACCAGAGCATCGTTGCGCAGCAGCAGCGTCTCCGACTCCCACATCAGACTCTTCACCTTCTTCTCCAGTATGGTGTTGCTCTTCTTGAGGCGGGCCAGCTGCAGCTTGTCGCGCTCGTAGAACTCCAGCTTGCGCTGCAGCTCCTTCAGATGGGTCTTGGCATGCTCCAGCGGCTCCTTGAGCCGGCGACTCTCAGTGGTTGCCTCGGCGGCGATGCGATCGCTGCGGTCGGCCTGGCGGCGCAGCTGCTCGATTTGCTCCTTCATGCTGCCAATGAGCGCCAGGTTGTTCAGTGTGATGTCGTTATAATAGTTCTTCATGTCGTTGAATGCCAGATCGTGATGGTCCTGCAGGTCCTTGATCTGCTGATTCTTGCGCTCCTCCACCTCGAACATCTGCGCGTTGAAGAAGAGCTCGAGCTTGTTGCGCTGCTCCCTCATCTTCTCGTCATGCAGGCGATCGTTGTCCTTGCGCTCGCTCTCAAACTGCAGACGCTGCTCTCTGGATTTGGATGGGAATTTTGGAATTTTGGAATTTGGAATTTGGATCATCGAATCATCGAATGGGAGCATTGGGTACTCACAGCAGCTGCTGGTTGTAGTGCGCCTCCAGCTGGCGATGCTGCATGTCGCTCATCTCGATGCGTTCGCGCACAATGCGGCGTAGCTGGCGCTTGTCCGTCTGCAGCTCCAGCTCCTGGAGCAGATGGTGCTCCTGGGCAACCTTCAGTTGGGTCATCGCCTCGGCGCGCACCTCGCCCAGCTTGCTGTGGTTCTCGAACTGCAGATGCTTCATCTGCTGCATGATGTGCTTGGTATCGATGTCCGCCAGATCCTGCGTGGCCTCGATCTCCTTGTCCTTCTGCTGCAGCTCGAACTTGGCCTCCTCTGCGCAAGCAGATCAAAGAGATTATAGGGACAATGATATCGATTCGGTTCCCGAGTGCTGCTTACCCAGCTGCTGGCGCGTGATCTCCCAGAAGGTGCGTATCTTGTCGCGCTCCAACTGGAAGTAGTTGCGCTCCTCCCGCTCCCGATCCATCTCGGCCTTGAGGCGCAGCGAGAACGCCTCCAGCTGATCGCGCGTCATGGCGGACGTGTCCACGCCATCGATGAGCACTGCAAAGAGGCAAACGAGAGCTTTAAACTTGCCAACGACTGTCATGAGCAAATTTAATAAGAATGCAGCCCATTAATGTGCGTGTGTGTGTGTGCTATCTCTGCGCTTGTGTGTGTGTGTGTGTGTGTTTTAGGATTGCGCCTCATGCCCGCATGTGCAGAGCTGCTGCTGTAATTGGTTTGTGTAATTGGCATCGTTCACCGGCTGGTGCCGAGCCTTGCCTCCAGCTGCCTGCCGCATGTCCTCTGCCAGGTCCAGGCAGGACCAACAGCATCCTCCATAGAAACAATTATGTGCGTTAGAGGCCGTTGCTTTGCTCACTCGTGGAAATTAAGTGCGTCTTTTTTTCCGCTCACTCACTCTCCCTCTCTCTCTCACTCACTCTCTTGTGTGCTTGTGTGTGTGTGTGTGGAGTCTGGGTTGCTGCAGTGGCATTGCGTTTGGGTTGCGCTTGCACAATTAAATTGTATTGAGCATGTGGCCAACATGGACGCCACTTGTCACACTCTGTTTTCCTGCTGACCAAGCCTCAGATTATCATTATTTGACAAATTGTTGTGCCGCCCAACTGACAGAGACCCACCAAACCAGCAGCCCATCGACCCATCGACCCACCGACCCACTGGCTCGCTGGCCGAGCCCAACTTTACCAGTCACATTAATTACTTACGCCGCTCCGACTTTGGTACTTAACTATCTTTATGCCATCTGCGAGGGCAATTGCACTGCGAGCATTTAACAATTTTTATACCCTGAACCCATTGAAAATGGGAAATCAGGGTATAATGGTTTTGTGAAAAAGTATGTAACGGGCAGAAGGAGGCGTGGCAGACCCCGTCCGTCCGTCCGTCCGTCCGTCCGTATGAGTGCGTCGATCTCAGAAGTTATAAGAGCTAGAGAGCTGAAATTTGGCATGCATACTCGTGTGTACCATACGCAGTACGAGTTTGCTTTATTTTTTCGATAAATCGTCCGATAACTTTTTTATCGAGAATAATCGAAAAATTGATTTTGTTTTTTTAGCCTAATTTGAACATTTTTAGACCTGGAGTCTTCAAATTTGCGTTGTATATAAAGTTAATCGATACAAAGATTTTGTAATTTACAGATTTTGGATACCACGCCCCCTTCTCCCCCAATTTGTAAAAAACGCATTTCAAGTACTAGAGACTTGTGCTTTGGAATGTACACACATATTTACCATATGATTACACTCTGAAAGTTTCATTAAGATCATATGTTTACAAAAGAAATTATTCGACAAATAAATTCTCATAATATTGCCCACACTGCAGCGCAGCCCAAGCGCAGTCGCTGCTTACTGCGCAGTTAGCAGAGCGCAGGCTTATGCGTGCGTGTGGATGCATCTGTATGTATGTGTGCATAAAAGAANTATATCAGTATATCAGTATATCAGTATATCAGTATATCAGTATATCAGTATATCAGTATATCAATATATCAATACATAAATATTCAGCTGGTAAGTAAACCTTAACAAAGTTCCACTTAAGTTAATAGTAAACTTGATAGACACTGGAATTTAGTCGAGCTGACCTTCATATGAAAAAATTCTGGCACAGAAGTCTAAAATCACTCATATTAATGCATAAAGCTCAGTTAATACAATAATATTGTCTCTTTGGATCTCTACTCTCTATCTCCGAAGTCTCCAGTGACGATAATTTCTTCTGAGTGCACTTTTTCACATTTAAGTGCATCTAATATACAAAATTACATAATATTTTCCTGCTCCACAATTGCATCCTAAGCCCTATCTGGAAATAGGTTCTCGAAATCTCGAAGAAGAAATGACTGAAGACCTAAGCACGTCCGGCTGCCACTGATTTCACTTTCGAAGTGCTAATTTGTGATCATAGAAGAGCATTATGTGGAGAGTGAAGTATGGAGAGTCTGCTAGCATGCCCGCTATTCTATAGTCATAATTCAGTCAAATGCAAATTCCGCTCCCTATGATCTCATTGATCTCACTCAAATGCCTTAACAGCTATGTTAACTATTTAGCATGCCCGTCTCTGAGTGAACATCAACTGTTATGTTATCTGACTGTTAAATAGTAATGAGTAATGACAAGGGATAAGAGCAGCATTTTAACTAGGAGTTTTAAGAGCGGAATACCCACTCTCTATGTGCTAGCTCGGACTGTGCCCGTTTACTGCAGCTGAGCAAATGAAGAATAAAGACTGTTAAATTCAAAGTCAAGGCAATCCTTGCTATGAATCATAGAAAGAAAACCACAAATTAGTTCCCTCTACGAGCAAAGTTGCTTGAAGAGTACCTAAAATTTCAGCTCTAAATTGAATTGAATATTAATGCTTGCTCAAATTGAATATAATGTATACCTATATATGGTGTGTATATAATAGTATAGTATATATAGTATATGTAATATAGAGACGGTATATTTGAAGATCGACAAAGATCAGCTCAGCTAACACTTGGGATCGATATAGTTATCAACTCACCTGGCAACTTCTTGCCCTTTTTGCCTTTCTTACTCTTTGGTGGCTGTGGATGGAAAGTGGAAATGCATATTAATTCTGGGTAATGAAGAAATTCGATTTCAAAACTGAAAACATACCCGATGTGAAATGAAATGAAAATATCAAATGCAAATAAATCCAAATCAAGGTTCAAGTGCGAGAATCGGGTCAATGCAAGTGCAGTTTTTGGGGACATGTGAAGGCGGCAGTTAGTCAAAGTAATTTAAAAGGATTTTGAATGGGAATGAATGAATCGAGTGTTGAATATACACATGGGTTGAATGTATAAATAAAGCTCTGCTTAATGTGTAATTCGATTTCCTTGGCTGGCTGCTGCGATGGGGTAACGAGCGATGTTTTTCTTTTTTTTCAGCAGTTTCTTCTTCTGCTATGCGCAATGCATCCTCGAAAAAGGCGGCAGGCAGCCACGGGACAGGACAGCAGAGCAGGAGTACCAGGCGCAGGAGCAGGAGCAACAGCATTGGACGTGCAGAGGTGGCACGAGTCTGAGGCGGTGGCAACGTCGCCGTTTTAAATAATGTGATGGCGCGGCTTTCAAAACAATTTCACAACAGCTGTTGGCTTATTGCATATTTTATGACTGCAAATTATTCAAAAATTTTCGAAGCCGCGCCCGGCCCAGCCGCCAGTCGCGTCGCCTCGCTCCATGTTGTTGCTGCTGTTGCTGTTGTTGTTGGCGTTGGCAAAAGGCGTAAAATTTTCATAAATAATAATAGTATACATATACATGAATGTATATATCTAGTAGAGAGTGTGCTTGAATATACAAATTGTCGAAAATGGACAACAGCAGCGACGCGAGTTTGTTGCATGCTGCACAATTCTTTTGCCATTTAACAGCAGTAGGCAGGAGGTGCTGCAACTGAGACATAAGAATATATATAGAGTTGTGTGTATATGTGTGTGTGTGTGTGCAGCATGTTGTTGCAGCACAACAGCCTGGCTTGGCATGAAAAATTGAATGTGCCAATGCCTGAGCCTGAGGCTGAGGCTGCAGCCTCTCCTACCTCCTGCCCCGCCCGCCCATAAAGCGGGGCCAAAGGGCTGCTATCAGCGCTGCATCAAACAGCGGACAACAGGACAATGTTTAAAGATGCTGCAGTAAGTACTGCTACAGCTGCTACTCCTGCTGCTGCTCCTGCTCCTGCTGCTGCTGCTCCTGCTGAGTTCCAGTTGCTCAACATCGTTTATTATACGCCAAAGAGATCTTTGCTCTGCTTTTAGCTTACCATTTTGTAGAGTTCCCAGAGATTTGCCCTTATCCAGCGAGAATGTGCTGCAAGCTCTTTGAATTTTGATTATAATTTGTGCCGGGCCGAGCAGTTAATTTTGTTATTGTTTGTTATTATTGTTGCTGTTGTTGTTGTTGCTGTTGCTATTGTCGTTGGTCGCCCAGAGTTACCAGCTGGGATTGTCGGCGCTTTAACAAATGCCAAGCAACCGCTTGGCCAGCCAATAAATTTCACAAATATATTTATATTTATGCATATAAATATATATTTATATATTTTCAATCTGTGTCTAAGTGTGAATTTGTGATATTCGGAAAAACGACTGAGCAACTATAGCATGCTGTATAGCCTTAAGTACTTATATATACTTAAATGTTTAGTTTTCATTTAGATTTTGCTTCTTCTTTCACTTCTCTTTTTTCTATATTTTATTGAGTTCAAAGTTCGAGCGGGTAGAAAACAAAGTTGTTCGAATAGTTGATAGTGGTCACAGCCTTAAAGTAATATACCAATTAGCACACACAACTAGGGGAGAGAAAGTTGGGCAAGTATGGACATGACTGCGAGATACCCTACAAGAACAGCGCAAATGCTGAATATATATTCATATATATAGCTATCATCTGTCTGATTTAAGATTATAATAAAATTGTCTTTGTAATAAGGGTAGATTGATATTTTTATATTTTCTTAAATCAAGCTGTTGCTCATTTTCTATGAGAGAGAGACAGAGAGAGAGAGAGACAGAGAGAGAGAGAGAGATGGAGAGAGAGATAAATAGATAGAAGCGAAGCTGAGAGAGTGACTTGAGAGAGAGAGAGAGAGAGAGAGAGAGAGAGAGAAAGAGGTGTATTGCTAGATAGATTTATCGATAGATCGAGAGGGATACCGAGATAGAGAGATAGAATCGAGAGAGAGACCGAAAGAGAGAGGGTGAAAAGAGAAAGAAAAAAGAGAATGAAATGCAGAAACAGAGACTGGGATATAAAAACAGAGCGATAACTAGACAGATACAGAGTGAGAGAAAGAGAGAGAGAGAGGGGAAGAGAAAGTGAGAGAGAAGGAAAAAAGAAAGAAAACATAGAATAAAAGGGAGAAGTAGACACAGGGAGAGAAATAGGCAGACAAAGAAGGAGAGAGTAAGAGAGAAAGAGAGAGAGAGTAAAAAAGATATCAGTTCACTTACTTTATTTTGTTTTCGATTAGATTACCTATATGCATGAATATATTTTAATTTCTAATTAAAAACGATCTGTGGAAAAGGAGCTATACTTTTCTTACAAAAACTTCTAGCCGCTCGCCGAGCTCATGCATATACCCCAAGGCACAAATTGCGTTTAGAGGGTATGGCAAATAAGAAGCGAACGACAATGAAATTGAAATACAAGCTGATGAAGTTAACGGCTGGCCGATAAAGTTGCCAGCAACCGGGTCGAGTCGCATAAATATCTCGCCATAAGTAACCCCGGCAATGCAGTCGAGCCTTGCGTTGCACGCTCACTTGCCTCCGCCGTGCTGTCCGGCTGTCCGGCTGTCCAGATGTCCGGCTAGCCCCTGAACCCTAACCCCATGAACCCAATGGCCTCTGCTCTGTGGCACTTAAGTAAATAGCTTGGCAGTTTGGAGCACTTTAAATGCATTCACTATAAAACAGAGACAGAGCGAGAGAAAAAGAGAGAGAGAGAGAGTGGGAGAGTGWGGGAGCTGCTGCAGTCATTGTGGCTCTTGTTGTTGTTGCTTGGCAGATTTTAGACTTTGGCAATTAGGTTATAATCAGGCTAAGGCGCATAATTATTTTGCGTGTCTTTCTCAGCTTCAAGTTTAGCTTCAGCTCTTTCTTTATGCTTTCTTTTAATGCTAGTCAGAGTGCAGACGGTTTTAATTAATTGAATCTGCTCAGTGGGCAAGTTTCCAGCTAATCAAAGCTCACTTTGATTAGATCACCTTGGGCGCAGCATCAAAATTCTCACCTACATTTGCCTATGCCGAAAGGAAGTCTTTAAGTGCAGACGAAACTTTTGGCGCGAATATTTCACGCCTTAATTTGTGGCAGTGGCAGGAGCAGGAGCAGCAGCAGGAGCAGGAGTAGTGGCAGTGGCAGGAGCCGGAGCAGGAGCAGCGAGTCGTCGAGTTGTTGTTTGAAAATTATGCGCCGCTTGCTTGGCGGTTGTGTAAACAGAAGCCCCAAATAAAAAGGATATTGCCGGCTGTTGGGGCTTGCCGGTTAAATGCTTTAATTGAAATTAATAACCGCAGCCCAGCATTGAGCAGTTGAGCAGCAGTCGTTGCCTTTTCCAGCTAACTTGGCTAGCAGGCCAGCCACACAGCCACACAGCTAGTCAGCCAACTCGACTGCCTCAGAATTTTCAATTGTTTTCATTAAAAGTCAATTTTAGGGGGGCGCAAGGCGCGAGGCGAAGGGCGTAGGGCTCGCTTCAACCCTTCGCAGAGCGGGGCTAAAATGCCCTGCGGGTGCTGGGGGGCTGGGGGCGGCTGCTGAGGCTCGTGCCGCATAATTTTGTATTGGCAGATGCTGTTGGCCATGGACCATTGCACGGCTAACGGTAACGTTAACGGTAACGGTAACGGCTGCCAAGGGTCAGGCGGCTGCTGCCTGGGCGCTGATTGAAAGTGAAAGTAAACGCTGCTCTCACATAGAGACAGACACTGACACACACACACACTAACACACAGACACACAGACACTCACTAACACACAGATTCGCACCGTAAGACATATTTCAAACGCTATTATGAAATGCGCACAGCTTTCAGCTCTTCGTCGCGCAACGTGTTGAGGCTAGCTTTAAGGCTGCCAAATTCGAGTCGAGTTAAATTATAAATATTTGTTCATCTTAGATTTAAGATCTATATCTCAATTAGCAGCAATCACAGCAGTTTTTTAATTTATAAAGAATGTAGCAGTACTTAAAAATAAAGTTGTCATAAAAAGGAAAATGTTTTAATTTATTTGAAAATTAAAAAGAGTCAAATTTGTAGGGCAGCTAAATTAAAAAAAAAAAATTGTTTAATTTAATTTAATTTTTTGTGGCCTATTTTGAGTTTAAAAACAAATCGTTCTGAAATAGGGCTATCGATAAATTATTTATTTGAATTTT